GAGATTTGAACTTGGGTAATTCTAGAAATGGCAACGGGGCGGGGCGGGGCGGGGCGAGGCGAGGGATCACCCTCCCTATCCCCGATTTCCGAAGGTGGAAATTCCCCTGGCCCTAGCCCCAATCCCCGACAGGGAACCCACTGTTGGACAATCTTCACTGTATTTAAAAAGATTTAATTCTATTGTGTACACAACAACAAATAGAATTTAAAGAAATAAAGAAAAAAAAAAAAAAAAAAAGCTCCAGAAAATGAATTCATCATCAACAACAACAACAACATCAATAGATCTAACAAATCTAACAGATCTGAGCTCAAAAAACATCTAACAAATCAAACAACATCTGAGCTTTAACAGATCAAAAAACATCATCATCATTTTCATCACCAACAGATCTTCATCAACATCTCCATCATTTCCAGATCTGGAGAACAAAAGCAAAAAACAAGAGAGAGAGAGAGAGAGAGAGAGAGAGAGAGAGAGATACCGTGAGAGAGAGATGAGGAGTCGGTGATGAGAACGAAAGAAGAAGCCGATGGTGAGGGAGCTGTCGGTGAGAACGAGAGAAGGAGCCGGTGGTGAGGGAGCTGCGGTTGTGTATGAGAGAGTGAGAGTAAAAGTGAGAGTGAGAGAGAGAGGGGAAACCAGATGTGTTATGTTTGTGTGTCAACTCAACCAAACCCTACACACACAACACACACACACACACACACACGCATATACATATATAAACACACAACACACACATATATATTTATATATATAAATAGGATCGGGGGGCTGAACGGGGCAGGACTGGGTCCGGGGTTGGAAAATGTATCCCCGTCCCCGTCCCCGGCCCGAATATCATCGGGGATTTATTTTTAAATACCATCCCCGGCCCGTCGGGGGTATTTTTCGGGAAAAAACCGCTCAATTTGGGGTCAGGGGGTCGGGTCCCTGTCGGGCCGGATTCAAATTGCCATCCCTAGGTAATTCTATCTACACAAGGAAATTCTATTTCCACCTACCTAATAAACTCAAGGCAAATCTTGTCTCAATACACACACCTATTAATTTGATTATGAATTAATTTTCTCAATCCACACCCTTAAAATTACAATTACATCCTTCACTCATAAATGATACACAAACTTTACCCTCAAATGCACACATTTTAATTGACCTTAATTGACATTTCTAGTTCCACCCACTTTTGTGAAGACTTTGGCTTCGTTCAAACAAAGAAGGAAAAAAAAAAAAAAAAGCTTTGAACTTTCCTCACCTCCATTGAAGAACTTGAAATCACTAAAAACTATTGAATCCTTTGTTTAAGGTAAGAAATCTTTCCATTTTCTTATTACATTTATCATTTTGTTATTACATTTACTATTTTCGGATATCTCTGCACTCCATTGGCATAAAACATCGATTTTTCCAAGGTTGGAAACTAGTTGGAGCTCTCAGCACTGGGTGTCCGAATTTGTTTCTTCAATTCGGAACCCAATCACTGAATAATGTGTACAACATTGACCAATTGAATCTGAACAAAATATAAAATTTCTAAGTTTTTCTGCCGAATATAATATAATTTTTCGGTTCAATAGTTCTGAATTAATTCTTTTATTTCGACAATTGATTTCTGAAATATTTGTGTTCATTCGGCACTGAAGTTTCGAATGGTTTATATATATATATATATATATAAATTTACACCAAGTTACATAGGCTGCCAAGATTGGTTTTACTTTAGATTCGTTTTCAACAATTTTATTTTATGGGTATGTTTATGTATTTATTTATTTATTATTTTTTTTGCGAAATTCAATGCATAACAATATAAACAAAAATCTGTGCAGTAATGGTATTTTTACATTATATTGTTAGCTTAAGTAGTTATTAAACATAGGTCTTCAAAAATGTTGTTAGCTAAATAGTTGAACAAAACAATTGCATTATATAGAATATTAGACGTTTGTCCTTTCAAAACATTGAAATTAGGGCCAAATTTGGTCTTTGGTTGTGTACTTACAGCTACAACAAATTTACAATCAACAGAATGTACAAAGACAAATGATGGGCAGTCCTTTGATTGTTTGAAAAATGATGTTGGTATTGATTAATGACCTTGTTGCCTTGGTAAATTGGCCGAAGTAAAGTTAATCTGTTTTTGGCATGTTGTGAACATTACCAAACTAATTGGTAAATGGTCTGTATAGAATACAAATAGTTTTGCTATATCCATGTTTACATTGTAATTTTTCAACAAATCCTAGTCTCACTCTTTCATCAATAGTAGGGTTATGTCCTTAACTTATTTTGTTAATTTCACATCATCAAAATTGTCAATTTAATGGTCTATAACTGCATATTAGATTTCATTAAGGTGGCATGGTTAGGCTACTTATTACCTACATTGATGTGATCTTTTGCTGGGAGTGTTTATTCTGTTTCATTATATTGGTTGATGAGAACAATTTTCTTTATGCAGGTGGATGTCGGTCCCAATCAACGTCGGTTAGTAACAGCTTCGAACAGAAGACTCTGTGAATTAAAGAGACGTGGGCATGGTCGTAGTCGTAGTCGTGGTCGTGGACGTGGACGTGCTCGAGTGCATGATGATGACACGCACATTGCCATGGATGATGATCCTATACATGATGCACTAGTTATGGATGATATTGCTATGGATGATGACCCTACTAGTGATGATGCTGACATTGTTGATGAAGATATCCTTACTCAGCCATTTCCGGGAGGGCCAACTGATCTATCAATCCTTAAAATTTTTAAAAGTCATGTTGCCTCAGCTATTTGGAATGGTGCTGATGAAAGGGGCCCTTTGAAGTATCATAATCGCTCGTCTAAGATTCGTTTGTAGCCGTGGTGGGAACAAGGAAACAACGTTACATTTGTAAACATTGTAGAGATGTTAGGACTTGCACAATTAGGTCATTGCACGTACCGCTTTATCAACAAAATTGTAATGTCTAGTTTTGTTGAGAGATGGCAACCAGAGACAAACACCTTCCATTTGACTGTTGGAGAGATGACTATCACATTGGACGATGTCGCCACTATCCTAGGGCTTCCCATTGTAGGCAAATATATTAGTGTGCGTAAGTTGTCAGAAAGGCAGGCCATTGCATTAGTAGTTAATACCTTGGAAATTGATAAGCAAGAGGTCAGACATGAGATGTCTAGTGCTGGAGGCAATTCAATGAGGTTTAAGTGGTTGAGGGCACACTTTCATAATGTCACAGACAATAACTCAATGGAAAGAATTGCATGTGCAGGTAGAGCGTACTTGCTATTTTTGTTGGGTTGTACACTTTTCAGTGATAAGATTGGTATTAAGGTCCCCGTTGTTTATTTGAGTTTGTTGTCCGATTTGACGACTGTATCTTTATATGCTTGGAGTGTTGCTGCATTGGCATACTTGTATAGACAGATGGGGTACGCTAGCCGGTCCGGCGTAAAACAAATAGCCGGTTACATGACACTTCTTGAGGGATGGATTTATAAGTATTTTCGTGGATTTCAACCACACTTGAATATGAATTACACTCAAGACATGCCACATGTTTACTGTTGGACTTCTCAGAGAGAGTCTGGTGAAGAGACACAGTTATAGGCTTTTCAAGAGGAGTTTGATAGGTTGGGTGTACATGATGTAAGTTAGAAAGTCCTTTAAAATTTAAAATTCTATATCATACAAAATTTATAGTTGTCATATCTTACAGTTGCTATTGTTTGTAGGTTATTTGAGACCCCGTACCAGAGTTGCAGATGTCCATCCGTGTCACCCAGTTACGTTCTACCACATTGCCTAAAATGTTTGAAAGTAGTTGAACCATATCACCCTAACAAAGTTTTGAGACAGTTTGGCAGAGTGTAGACAATCTCTAATCCACCACTTGGCCCTATGCTTGCCTCTCGAGGAGCCACAGCTCCATGCTACAATGTTATGTATGCATACTTGGACATCATTTGGGAGGCATGGGACAACCATGTGTTATCTGATTGAAAGAAGAGTACACCGATACGACAACCTTGGGATTGTGTTCCTGGTTACATGGATTGGTACCAAACCATTACCCATATGTATGTTCAAAACCCAGTGCGTCGTTCTCAGGTAGACCCAAATATTCATCATTATCAGTATCCTAGTCAAGATGCACAAGTACTTTTTTTTTTAAGGGCACAATTACGAATTATTTATTTAAACTATTATAGGTTTGTATATAATGTTGTATTTGTTCTCGTAATGTAGCGTATGTCACAGATATTTCAAATTACTCATCCTTTCGTTGAGGTTGACTATGAGGATAGTGTTCAACATCCTGATAGACTTTACTACGCAATCGATGAAATTGAACAGCTTCTTTAAGATCAGCATTAGTGAAGCTGCGCCCAACACATCCGCTCAGGGTCGGTCTGCACCCAGCTCTTCTACTATATAGTGTTTTGGAGCACATTACACTCGTCGGTCATATAGTTGATAGTAGTTCATAATGTTAACATAAGTAGTTTTTGATGTTGTTAGTGGATGTGTAAGAAGACAAATGTTATTGTTATCTTTAGATTATGTACTTCTTGGATCATGTATAAAGAGACATGTATTTTGCGATGATGTGGATGGATTGAACTACCAGTTAATATTACTAGTTCTCGTTACATACTTCTTGTTCAATATGAATAATCTTTAACAGTAGTTGCACTTGGTTAATATTATTTTCATTACATTTTGTGTTTAGACAATGTAAAAATAATATGACATATATTCCATAAATAAGAGAACTATAACTCACATGATATTATATTTATAAAAAAAAATGACCATTACAAAATTCAATGGCAAAATGATATCTATCTCGTTATTCCATTCTAGTAAATCATAAAAACTAATGTCTTAAACCTCTCATGACTGCTCTCTAATACATCAATCTATGTCAAATACATCAAATATCTCTCGAGTAGCTATATTAAGTCCTATGTTGTCTTTGAATTTTTGAATGCGGCTAATGGTGAACTCGCCAAAGCACAGCAATGGGAGGAACTGGATGACCAGGCTTCAAAAATACCAGCACGTACATCCAAAAATTTACATATCTTTACCAAATCTATCAAATTTGTAATTACACAAATATTAAACAACAATGTACAGTTATTTTCATAACTTATACCTGTACAAAATGATTTCCATTGACAAATCCAATGGCAATCTCGCGACGATCAGTTAGGGTTACTGGTGGTGATCTCAAAGGTAAGAAAGTAAGACTGTTGCAACGACAAGTGGTACAAGACTACATTATAAAATGATGCAATAAGATGTCCCATGTTAGACATAGTCATCCTACGATCAAAGCCTACGCTATCTTCGAAATATGAAAGGATGTATGTCAAATCCTCGACCCTCTCATGCGACCCGTATAGTACGACGTATTCATCTTTGTAATTATTCAATTCAAGTAGCATATCACGTCTAACTTGCACCCAGTTATTCTCTCCAAGACCAAGTAAACCCGCAATAGTTCTAAAATCACAATTCTCATCACCATCTATATCATTCATCAACTTTGTGAATGGTATTAACATAGACGGGAAGTCACCAGCATATGCACTCGGTAAACTTGTTCTTGTACAATATGTCTTTGTTTTCACATTCTGCTTCTTATCACGCACTTTCGAAGCTCTCTTTTTCTTTGACTGATGGGAAGCTAATGTGCTCTGGCTATCATGGCCATCGTCAACCAACTCAAATGCACACAGGTCACGATGACAAGATATATCAGTTTTCTTATGTCCTTAATGTGGATTAGGTTTCACATCAGGCTCAATAAGAAAAGTGTTCGCTGGATTTGCAATTTTCGTCAACTTCTTCAACATATCCAATTGCATGGCAATATCAGACTCATTGAACCGCTTCAAAATCATCTCAAGTTCTGGGATACAAGTCAATTCCAATTTCTCAACCTTCGGATTATGCACACATATAGTAAGTCGCGTCCAATGTACATCTATGCTATTGAATGGAATAAGACGGCCTTGTCTCATGTAATCTGCAATCTACAATCTCATGAGCACAAGGTAAACCATGTGTGCGCCTAAGAACACACCCACATGCTATAACATCAATTCCAACTGAATTTGCTCTCTTACTCTTTGCCAACACATACTCCAATGCACAGATAGACATATTACCCCAGAGCTCTCTGAATTGAGAAGGTTTGAATTGACGTTGAACAGTTGTCAAACTCTTCTCGAATGATGCTTTAACTTGAATGTGCTGTAATTTAAGTAGACAATGTATTTTTTCAAATGAAATCTCAAATGTCGTTTGACTTAAACCTAATTGCCTCTTCAATCTAGCATGAACACTCTCAACCCTGTTCATATGGATGTAAAAAAAAATAGTCAAGCATAATAATTAAAAATAACAATATGATTTATAATAATAATAAATAAATAAAATGGAATATTACCAATTGGTTGTAACATTGTCAAAAATGCATACACATGTTTGTATGTACCGCAATGAATTTTTCTTGATACGGATTCAACTAACTCACTATAACATACTTGATTGCTTCCGAGTAGTTACTGAAATCCTTATGCAGCATTGCAAGGTGATCAGTTTATTCCTCTTCAGTCGATGACAATACCAAATAGTTCCATACCGTGTTAAACTTGTCCCATTTTTCTTTTGTCTCAAACATTTTCTTGCATTTCATCAATACATTCTTATTAATATGCCAACGACATAACAAATGTCGAGCATTCGGAAAAGTGTTGTCAATAGCATTCATCAAAGCAAGCTCTCTATCGGTGACAATGACTTTAGGTAAAACACTGTTGTCTATAAGATCACGCAATATTTGTAACACCTATGCATAATTATCAACCCGCTCAATTTGCAAGTATGCAATAGCCACGGAGAATGTCATATGAGTTGATATCACTCCCACAATTTCAAGAAGAGGAAGCCGATATCTATTCGTCTTATATGTGCAATCCATAACCAACACACGAGAGAATGTACGAAGCAAATCCAAACTCACTGGATGTACCCAAAACAAGTCTGTGACAGTCATAGAGCCATCCTCACATCGATAAAGCTCAATGTACTTATGTTTCGCTAATTCACCCAACAGTTGTTGCATCTGGGATCTACTAACTTTCTGTAAAACCCTACATCGATGTCGTACATTGTAAACTGTCTTTATTATGCTCATATTAAGGGCATCCCTCTATTTGAGTGTAATGAGTATCTCTTTTGGTCTTACTAGGCTCTTTGACATATCTACTAACAAAGACTTTTCATTAGCTGACAATCTCCTTGCACATGAATGTCCTTGGAGATGCTCTGCAGTTGGATGATTATGTAGTCCACAAACTACATTCAATATCCATTCATCGTTTATTTTCAACTTGTACGCCCTCAAATCAAATGGGCATTCGCACTTCTTCTGTAGCGACCCTAATTTTCTTAAGTCATTATTTTGTTTTATTATTATGGTTATTATTATCTTATTTTATTTTTGGGTTTATTAATTGTATCGTTACATGAGAATTTAATGTGTTGTTTAGTTAATTTAATGTGATATTTAATTAGTTTAATGTGGTATTTAATTATATATAATTAATCATAATCTTTATATTTATATATTCATTTATACATAAAAAAGAGGTGTATTTATATTTGTTATATATATATATTATCGTATATTCATATTTATATATTTTAATTTGTTGTATAATATTATATAATAGTTTATTAGGTTGTTATGTATGAGATTAAGGTTTATATATATATATAATATGTAGTCCATTAGGTTATAAGGGAATTAGAAGAAAACAAAGAAAAAAAAAAGAGAAGGGTTGTGCTGTGTGCGGCACCGAGAGAGAGAGAGACCAAAACATTATGTGTGTGGCGTGAAGAGGGGAGAAAGGAAGAAAAAGATTAAGTTTAGGGTTTTGTTTTGGTGGCCCCATTAATCTTTTAAATATTTCTTTGATCTTTAATAAAATATTGTGAGTACAAAATTCACTTTTCTTTGTTTATATTTGATTCGTTATATTTATTTATTTGTATTTATTTAATATTGATTTGATTTTTGTATTGATATGAAGATGACAGATTGATTTTAATTGTTTTGATTAATTAGGTATGTAAGGTTTATGATTTTTTTTAGATGATTGATTAATTTTAATTATGTTGATTAGATGTATATGTAAGGTTTAGAATTTTTAGATGATTGATTAATTTTAATTATGTTGATTAGACGTATATGTAAGGTTTAAGATTTTTAGATGATTAATTAATTGTAATAATTTTAATTAGTTGGGTAAGTAAGGTTTGGGATTTTTTAGATGATTGATTAATTTTAATTATGTTGATTAGGCGTATATGTAAGGTTTAGGATTTTTAGATGATTAAATGATTGTAATAATTTTAATTAGTTGGGTATGTAAGGTTTGAGATTTTTTTTAGATGATTGATTAATTTTAATTATGTTAATTAGACGTATATGTAAGGTTTAAGATTTTTGAATGATTAATTGATTGTAATAATTTTAATTAGTTGGGTATGTAAGGTTTGAGATTTTTTTAGATGATTGATTAATTTTAATTACGTTGATTAGACGTATATGTAAGGTTTAGGATTTTTAGACGATCGATTGATTTTAATTATGTTGATTAGATGTATATGTAAGATAGTTATAAAATTATGGTAGATGTTTTGGTTGGCGTTTAGTTTTTGTTTCACCCCTAAGATTTGGATGATGGAATATTATTGAGTGGTGTATGTAAAGTTTAGGGTTTTTAGATGATTGATTGATTTTAATTATTTGCATTAGTTGGGTATGCAAGGTTTAGGGTTTTATTTTGGGTGACTTTATTAATTCTTTGAGTGATTCTTTGATCTTCAAAAATAATTGTGAGTACAAAATCCACTTCCCTTGATTTATATTTAATTCTTTGTTTTTATTTATTTATTTGATATTAGTTTGATTTTGTATTCACACAAAGATGATAGATTGATTTTAATTATTTTGACTAGTGGTGTATGTAAAGTTTAGGGTTCTTAGATAATTGATTGATTTTAATTACTTTGATTAGCTGTGTAGGTAAAGTTTAGGGTTTTTAGATGATTGATTAATTTTAATTATTTTGTTTAGTTGTGTAAGTAAGGTTTAGGTTTATAGATGATTGATTGATTTTAATTATTTTGATTGGTTGTTTATGTAAAGTTTAGGATTTTTAGATGATTGATTGATTTTAATTATTTTGATTAGTTGCATGCAAGGTTTAAGTTTTTTTTATATGGATTGATTTTATGATTGTAATCACACTCATGGTTATATAAAATTAAAATAAACTTAGAATCCATAGATATTGGTTAGAGGATGGATTGATTCGTTGTTTTTATTTATTTATTTTTATTTGATGTTGGATTGATTTTGTATTTGCATGTAAATGAGGATTAGTTGTGTATGCCATGTTTATGATTTTTATATGGATTTATTTTATGGTTGTAATTACACTCATGGTCATATGAAATTAAAATTAATTAAGAACCAATAGATAAATTCCTTATACTCACCATGGACTCCATGGATTGTTGTTTTATTTGAGTGATGGGGAGAAAGAGCGTATAAAAAAAAAGTGAGGATTATGAAATTTATTTGAATGCAATATACCAAAACTTAGAACAAAACCTATAAAATGGAGATGTTGTGTATATAAATGTTGTTGCCTCGTTCTCATGAGTAGACGAGTGCTTTGATTTGCGCGCGTACGTATATGCTAACCATCCGGGGAGTGTGAGTCAAACTCGGGACGATATCCCCGTGCAAGTTTGGTTTCTGAGCGGTGTTAGGTATACGGGAGGCACATGGGATATATGTGTAGGCCGGAAGGGGAGAGCCGAAGTGGTGGAGTTAAGGAACAAAGAATTTAATTATGAATTTATTAGTATAGTGTATATGGTACTGTTATGTATATGATAAAAAAAATAGTAAACGATCTTGATAAATTATGAAATTTGAGCAGAAGCATGTATACGTGATTTTGGACAACTCTTGTGTTGTAGTTTTTTATTAAAAAGATCGATTAGAACTTATAATCGGATGACCTTGGTTATTGTCGGTTTGATTCACTTTGGTAATGCAGATTTTAGAGGCTGTTTTAACCCACGAAACGAGCTCATTTTTATTGGTTTCGCGTAAATTGAAGTAAAACATTATTCTGCGCACTTTTCATGTTTTGAACGGTTCCGAAAGAAAAATCACCTTAGGGAAGTTTTTGTTCATCTTCAGCTTCAGATTTTTCGATTGAATTCCATCTAGGTTTTTCTATCACAATTCGAATTATTTAAGTATGAAACGGTGTAATTTTATATTTTTTTTTTAATAAGTTACTTATGATTAAATTATACTAACTTTATTTGTTTTGCAGGATGGTGGGTCTTACTAACTTTTTATGCAGGGCTGACCCACCATATTTCTATTTCTATTTTGTTTACATTATAATACATTTATATTTCGTTGTGTACGGACAAGAAACTAAATGCCACCGTGTCTCGAGAAACTACCCATTCGTCTCGGTGCGGTTGGAACTACTTGTCTTGTCCTGTAATAAGAATTTAACGAATTTTTGTTTGTGTCTGGTGGACACGTGGGTGTTGAATCTTGTACTCATACCAGTATACCTGTATACTGACCCGTTTTGTCTCTTGGTAACTCGGGTGTGTTCTGTTGAGCGCAGCTGAGTTTTCTTTGCAGTATTAGTTGAGGCTACGGTGGTGACGAAAAGTAACTAAAGTTTTTGGGCATATCTCTTGGATTTCTTTTGTTTTTTTTTGAGTTTAGGCTTGTTAGTAGTTTATGTATTTATTATTATTATTATTATTTTTATGACTTTAGTATTGGAATAATTTGGCATGGTTTGTAACCGTACTTTATTTAAGTTGTTTTGACTAGTTGTTGCTACCTTAATGTTGAGGTATTTGTTAGTTATGAATTTATGGTGGATGGTTTGGTTGGTGTTTTAGTTTTTTTGTTTCACCTCTAGGATTTGGATGATGGAATATTAATTGGGGTTTAGTCCTAATTTAATATTTAATTGTCCAAATTTTGGGGCGTGACATCTTCGTACCAGTTTGTCTCAATAAGTCTTTTGATCCATCTTTCAACTTTTTACGCGATCTATACTGCCCACTACACTCACAAGCATGATAAATTCTTGGTTTCTTGCGATCGCCACCATAGTCTAACGTCCTTATAACAATAACAAAGCCATTTGCTCTTCCAATATCACGTACCTAAGCGAGCAATTCATCTTTACTGTCGAGAACCTATATATAATGTCACACAACTTTCATAAGAACAAACTAAACAAACTAATTAATAAAAATTATAAACTTACGAATTTCATATTAAAGGTTACTTGTTTAGAAGTAAAATGACTAGTACAATCCACCATAATATCCGATCGAACCTCAATTTCTTCAGTGGATGCCATCTGAGAAGGAAGGGAAAACAATTTTCATTCAATTTTACAGAGCCGAATATAATAGAATAATTCGGCACTACAAAGCCAAAAATAATGAAATAATCCGGCATTAAAGAGACGAAAAAAAATAAAAATTTCGGCACTATATGGCTGAAAAAAATTATAAAATTCAGCACTTTAAAACCTAAATAAATTTCAAATATCAAAATTTAAGTATTGAAAAAAGTCATAAATTCGGAACTTGTATATCGAAATATGACTATTATTTCGGAAGTTGATTTCCGAATATTTTCATAAAATTCTACATTGACTATCCGAGTAAAAAACGCAAAAAAAAATTAAAAATTGTTACACGAAAAAACTAACCTTTTCTGCACTGATTTTGCTGTCATCAGATATATTTTTACTTGGGTTTGAACTTCCATAGGTTTGTAACTCTTTCATATCAAAATCAAGTAAAAATTGTGAAACTAATAATTAAACGATGTAAATAGTAAAGTATAAACCTAGAGATTAAAACAATATGAGAGATTTCTAAGAGTAATAATTTGCAAGCAATAGATAAGTATAGAGTGTGTAACAAGCAAAGTGATAACAATGGAAAAATTAGAGTTTAAGTTTTTTAATTCAACAGGTGTATATTGAG